TTGATTGTCCTCACGTGATGCAGTTTCTGTTATTTGGTACAGTTCTGTAGCTCCAGTCCATAATGTTTAAAGAAGTTTTGTCTTTGGCTCGGCCCTCTTTGGCTCGGCCCTCTTTGGCTAGGCCCTCTTTGGCTAGGCCCTCTTTGGCTCAGTATTTGTGACGTGTGGAGAATACTAATGCACTAGTCATACATAAAAATAAATTCAACCATAATTTTGATTTTAAAAATCCTACACCGATAAAAAAAGAAAATAACTCACTCAGAAGGAAAATTCCAGAGAGTGCCGCCATAGAATATTACCCAAATATTAATCTACGCCCAGGTTTTTTCCTCATTTCACCTTGCTTAACAAAATTACTGCTCTCACAAACAAATGTAAACAACAGATTCATAAAATCAAAAGAAAATTGAATACATCAACACAGATATAATGACAATATTCTCCACACATGACAAATACTGACGTTATTTTCAGTTAACAATATGAAAATAGTGTTTCTCTACATTCCAGATGCTAGGAACATTCTGTTTTTGATTTTATTAGTTACCTTGTTCAATTAAATTCATTTCGTATTTTGCTTTGATAAAGTCCACATTGGACGAAACGCGTCAACAATTACTAGTTTTCCTATTGTCATTTTTATTCATTTTTATTCATATATTTTTTTTATATATATATATATACCTACAATTCAAAATATGTTTCGTTTTAAAATAACCCACAAAGGATTGATAAAGCGTGAAAAATCAAATCAATTAACAATCCCAACGATGCTCCTTGCTAGGTTGGGATTGTCTCACCAGGTAGATATTATGAATAAGTCTTCTTCACAAATCGATGATGATATGATCTGAACCCATACAACAATGATTATCAAATAAGTTTTGATCGTGAGGTAACCTTGTGCCACACACAGCTAAGATAGTAAATGTGTCTATTATTATCCAACAATGTTATTTGTTGCGTTTTAAACTCGAGACACTTTTATTTAATTTTATTCCTCACCATCGGTTGAATAACTCACTTGCCGTGAAACAAATAATTGGCAGAAATGTATCTTCCGTAGGGTAAAAAAAAAAGAAAAAAAAGAAAAGAAAAAAACAAGAGAATTCTTCAAGAACATTAAGTAAATATTTTGTTATTGTTTCGACTGTCGGCAAAGTTTGCCTTGTGGAGAGATTTAAAAAAAATGGCGAGCATTCATTTCTTCGTCGAAATATATGCTAACGTATTCCATGAAGAAACAAGAAATGAATTAATGAAGGTAAATTTGCGCTGAACTATCCACTGGCAAATTTAAATAACTTCTCTTCAGGTATCTAAGGGGGGAAAGAAAACATAGAAAATATGACAAAATACACGAACGTATCGAAAAGGAAGGAGATTGGCCAGGAATCGGTAAAAAGAGAAATGGCTGATTAACAGAAGGAAAGAAAGAAAGCCGCGAAGAACGACAAAGTGTATGAAGGGGGTGCTGAAAAGTTCTCAGCCTTTCCCCCAAGTTCTGACTTTTGATAATTTGGCCAGAATTTTCGGTAGTGGGTCTGGTTGACAGCTATTAAACACTTCTACGAAAGGAAAAGACTAAACGAAAGAATGAAAATAAAAGAATTCTCTTTTAATCAATCACCCCAAGCAAGGCGATAATGTTACTAAGACGCAAAGGGGCTACTGGAAATGAAAGCGTATGAGAAGACTTTAGAAGGAACCGGAAGCGCAGTCCTCTAAGAAACCTCTACTTCTGCTCAAAAGGAGTTTAAAGGAAAAGTGAGAATATGGCGGATAAAAGAGAGAATATGGCGGAAGAGTGAGAGAAATGAGTGGGCAAGAAACAAACAAACAAACAAAAAAAAAAAACAAGAAAGAAAGAAAGAAAAAAAGTAAAAGGAGGAAGAACAAAAGACAAAGAAAGAGAAAAAGCATAAATAATGTATCAGCAAAGAAAAAGGATGAAAGAGAAAAAGGAAGAAAAAGAGAGAAAGAAGTAAGAAGAAAGGAAAAAAAAGAAAAGGCGAAAGAGAGAGAGAGAGAGAGAGAGAAAGGGATAAAGGGGAAAGAAATAGAAAAGAATAAAAAAGAAAGAAGAATAAAGAAATAAAAAAGATGACGACCAAGGGAAAGAAAAAGAAAGCAATAAAGAAAAGAGAAAACAAAACAGGAAGAAGCAACAAAAAGAAAAGAAGAAAAAGGCCTAAAAATAGAGAAAGTAGTAGAAATTAACAAAAGAAATGAAAAAAAGAAAGAAAAAAAGATTAAGCAGCAAAGACAGTAAAATAAATCGTGCAGTGAATCAAAATAAGAAAGAAACTAAGAAGAAATAGACACAAAAGAGAAAAAGGTGAAGAAGAAAAATAAAACCTACAAGAACACAAGTAGAATAGAAAGAAAAAAAAATTAGTAAAGAAAGGCAATAAAGACGTAAGCAAGACGAAATAGAAGAGAAAAAAAAACAGAATCAAGAAAATAAAGATAGGCAAAAAGAAGTAAAATTAAAAGA